TAATAATTTGTCAGATGTCAGATATATTAGTGTTGACTGATATTAAGTTTATAAGGAATACGGTAGAAACAGCCTAAGCATCGATTGCGATAACATAGAGAAGGAAATCGAGAGTTCCACAAGTGTGCCTTACAATTTCTCTATGAACAAAAATCCTAAAAATTTAGTTACTCAAGTGCTTCGATACCATCAAAATGTGTTCTCAACCTATTTACAAAATACCATCAAAAAATTGATGAGAAGTAGAACTGTTTGATGGCTAAACAGCTAATTCACAGTGTAAGATTTTGCGCTTGAGGCTTAAAGAAAAGCAGGACAATCGAACAATACGTGGAGCATACAGACTATGAGGACACCCGTACAAATAAATGTACTTAGACTGAACAGGATACTATGTTGATACTAAACAACAGCTCAAATTAGCCTTTTCTTGGCGTTCATAGAGATATGATTGGAAAAAATAGCTCATGGAAGATTTTAATGAACACAAAAAAAATTTGAACATATTTCAAAATCTCACAAAGCATTTCTTTAGAAAAAAAAGTCTTAGGAGGAAAAGAACTGATTCCCTGAGCAAAAATAGCCAAGAAAAAATTCAGGTGCTCCCGGGGACACCAAAAACAGAAGGAGAAAACGAGGAGTAAAGGCCAATAGAATGCTTTATCGCGGTGCTGCCACCAAGATGCAATCACTGAAGCTGTATAAATAGCTCGTTCGGTTTTGGTAGTTACCAATGCTTAGCCACGCAGGCATATACCCAGAAATAGTATGCTGATTGCTTCAGTTCGCTTAAACGGATGTTGCCTGAGGGCAAAATCCGAAATACCTTGGCAACTTTTTCTTCTTGTAAATTAGAAATCTCACCCTGTAATAAGGCTAAGAGAAGAAGCCAGAGCTTCATGGTCGAAAGTAAAAGACGACTGTGTGTCCGTGGAGATAAGGGATAAGGCGTGAGAGCGGGGAGACGTTGAGGCGGAGCGCAGGTCGGGGGGCCGTTGAGATGCTGCGTCCTCG